CAGCGGCTCTCCTTTCGTGTTGAGACACGCGGCCTCCGGAGGTCCCTTCACGGCCGACCCGCCCTCCTATCCATCCCCTGACCTTGCCCTGGAGGGAGAGTTGCGGAGGGGGCACCAGTCTGCCCCCTCGGAAGCTGAGGACCCCAGTCAAGCCCAGAGAGACAGAGGACAATACGCTGCTGACCTCCACGCTCGACGGCTGGACGCCACAGGGCACGCGAACGCTGGCTGGGCAGCCAGTCGGGAGGCGGACGGGCCCATGTGTGGCCCGCGCGTGGCGGACGCCAGGGTCACTGGCAGGGGGGGTACCATGAACGCCCTCCGCCGTCACCTCGTGCGCATCGACGGTCCTTGGCGCGAGATCCCCGACCGAGGGACACCGAGGACCCCGCGCGAGACCAGCAACCTTGAGCTCCTCACGCACCATGCGTGGAGGGGGCACCGCCCAGGCCACCCAGGCATACGAGCAGGCAGCCCCATGCGCGCGGCTTCGGCAGAAGCTGCCCTCCCTGGACTTGGCTCGTTCGGCTTGCGAGCCATTTCAGCCCCGACCCTTGCCATCCTGGACCTCTCCTGGCTCGTCTGGTCCGTCACTGGAGGAGACTACGAGGGGCGCCTTGGGGGAGTGCAACCAGACCCGATACAGGTCCTTGCCTTTCGCTTTGCAAGCATCACCCATGACCCCAATATAAGAAGGGAAAGACTGGACGCCGATAACCCCTCCGTGACGGAAAGGCACCTGGCACGGCACGAGTACGTGGCCATGGCCGCTGCTGCGCACTACTGCGACATAGGCATGGAGCTCCCGATGATGCGGTTCCCCCGCACAGTAGCGGCCCTAACCGACCAGACGGGACCCAGGACCCCATGGAGGACGAGACCATGGAGTATGCGCATAGAGTCCTAATTCATGAGCGCAGACAACATATAGTTCACTTTCCGGGCCATGGGGACATCAGACAGTGGGCCATCACGAGGGGGAATCTTGGACGGGCTGGGAGCGACGTTCACTCCAGACGACAAGCAGGCAGAGGCCCAGTGCCATGGGTAGAGCCCGCCCTCACAGGGATAACCGCCAGCTCAACGGGCATCCCTGGGGTACCTATTCAAGGGGGCGACAGTAACGACAACGCATGGCCCTGGTCCACCACAGCGTATCGACTACGGTTGCGGGATTTCTTCTGCCCGACTCAACGATGCGACTTTTGCGGCTCTTGGATGCTCCGAGACCCCACTGGACGATGCTGCATCACCTGCCACAGGTTGGCTAACCCATGGAGCTACAACCAAGGTGAGCAGCGAACAGGTGACCTCCCGCCGGGTCACCCAGACGCAGGCACGGACCAGCCACCCAACAGGCACGCGCTCGACCTCCTGGACACCACCCTGCTGTTGCAGCTCGTCACGGCGGGCATGCGGTATGCCCAATCGCAGCGCATCTCTACTCCCCAACCCAACCTGGCCCCTCCGACTTCACCCCGACCTGGCTCGTGGGTGAACTCCTGGGAGCCTGGAGACATCTGGTGGCCCAAGCCTCAGGCCTGGCTGAAATCTGGGCGTACGAAGGCACCGTAGCCCTCGAGGACTTCGGAGGCGATTGGCAACTCCGCACAGCAACGGTCTCCGTTGCGCTACTCTGTTCCGCGCCAAACTCCTGGGCCCTCAACGTCTGCCAGGAAATACGTCGCGTCATCAGGACCAGCCCCGAAGGACGACTAGACGGCTGGTTCCCTCCGCATCTCTATCACGACGGCCCGGGCACGCACCCGCCATCGCATTGGAGGGGGCCCCAGTCTAGCAGGACAACCGCAACCGTCGCCATAGGGCCGAACACCGTGGTGCACCTGGACGATCTCCGCTGGCTAAGCGACGCCATCGGCGGGGATCACCTAGACCGCGCTATAAGCGACGCACGAGACGGCACGGTCCTCAGCAGACGCTGGTGGCACAACAGAGACAGTCCACACTCCCAGGCAGCCGAGGTCCTGAGAGGCGCACTACAAGCAGCAGCGCGCACCGACTGGCGCCCCATACAGGCCCAAATGGGGCAAGGTACCCCACTCGGAAACCTCGTCACAGACGCCGTTATCCGGCGCTTGGAGACAGACAGTGGGGGCCGCGGCCACGCGCGTGCTGGGCGCCCCAGCGGTGGGCACTCTCCCATGGATGTGGACAACTCCTGGCGCGACAGGAGGGGCCCCACTGGCGGAGAGGGGGTCGGAGCGACAGTCCCCCGCAGACCCCCTCCAGATCCGGTGGAAGACCTATCCCACGCGGAGCGCTCCCAGCGAGAGGCCTTCATCGACGAGGTGCGGCGAATCAGGAGGATGGTAGCCAGCAGCTCCGTCACCCCAGGTATGCGGTGGAGCAGAATCCTGGTCCCCTTCATATGGGGCACTGCGACGGACAGGGGTCGAAGCGTGCTTGAGCAGGCCTTTAGGAACATCAATATCAGTACTACCATCACCGACCAGGCAGCCACCTGGTGGAGATCACGAGGCGTGCTCTCATACAGAGACGCCCAGATGGTCCTCGCGTCGGAGGCAGACACATCTTCCAGGGCCACCGGATCCACTCTCGAGGCACCCGAAATAGGCAGCTACATTGCACCACAGCTGCAGGAACGAATGATGCTGCACCTGGATGCGAATGGCTCCCTACAGACCGCCATCTTGTCAGGGGATCGGCAAGCAGTAGAGGCTGGAGCAAGGTTGCGAGCGGAGCAGGCCAGGAGCGAGCAGGGGTCGAATCCAAGGAATCACTGGCCCACGCCCGAAGAAAGAGCACGCCCTGGAGCCGAGGCTGCGACTGCGGAGGCTGCGAGCACAACCACGCCCTGGCATGCGGACATACGACAGTTGCTCAACCGAGCGAACTTTGCCATCCCGCAGGGCAGGCTACCACCAGGAGAGCACCTGGACAGGCTCATCCGCACACTTGACGCCAGACAGCGGGACGAGGAGGGTGCGGGCAGAGGGACCATGCCTGCCCCCGAAGGAAGGACCTCCGTCAACGGAGATCAGGCACAGTGCCTGGCGCAGAGTTTGCTGCTGGATCACAGGGCAGATGGGCAACCAGGTTCCTGGATCTCCAGAGCCCTGTGGCTCTGCCTGGCACCACACTACTTCCCCCTCCTGAGGCCAGTACTGACTGCGCGGGCAGTGGACTCCCGGCCCTACGACGTACTCTACCGCTGGATGACGAGAACCGAGATTCACACGCCGGAAGACGTGGTCACCTGTCTCCGGAGGGAGGTGCCAGAAGCCGATCTAGCGCCATACTCTGAACTCACTAACCTGCAAATCCAAGCCCTCATCTGTCACCTCAGCGAGGCGGCTAGCCTGACACACCTGGACGCCAGCGTCTCCGCCAGAGCCCTCATCGAGAGCCTGGGGGGCGGCCTTACCCAGATTGGCCACACCCCCGGAGACAACGCCAGACTTCCCCCGGAAAACATGGACGCTGTAGAAGTTCCCCCATGGACTTGGACGTAGGGACTCCCCTATGCATGATCTGCATCGAAAACATCCTGGGTTTCGCAGAAGTCTTGATGACGTGCGGGCACTTGTTCCACGCCGAATGTCTGAGCCAGTGGAGGGTGAGCCAGCCAACACAGGCCCACTCCTACGGAAGATGTTTCCCAGTAAACTGCCCCAATTGCCGCTCCAACGACAGGGGTAGCATCACCGTTAGGCTGCCAGATCGAGTCTGCGACGCTGATGCCGCTGCGGTTGCGGTACCACCAGACCTCCTGCAACTCCGCGACGGTACCCTAGCCCCGCTACAGCCTTTCCTGGGCCTGCAGGAGCTAGCCGAGGTCGTCGGACACCTGGCCCTGGACCTGGACTGCCTCAGAGCGCAGGCGCTCTCCATTCGACGGCCCCACACATACGTTACGCTGTCGGACATGCGCAGAATCCACGAGCATGTGAGCGGGAGGAGGGCCGCCCTGGAGAGGCAACAGGCCCCAATGGACGTGGACGGAACTCCACCCGACGGTGGAGGCGGCACGGACCCCGATGGCTCGCACAGCAGCTCGCAGAACCCTGGGACCCCGCCCCCACCACGACCCCTCGGTCCCACTAGCAGGGCAGATAGGATACGACAAGCCCCACGGATCACTTTCGGGAGATGGGCCCTACTGCTCGGACGAAATCCACCAGAGGACGAACCCAGGAGGAGAGGACCCATGAGGTTTCCGGTGGGACTGCTAACCACTGCCACCCGAGACATTGCAGCTGACCTGATAATTTCCAGAACCGCGTACGTTGGCGATCGAGTAGCCGACGAGACTGGAGTCACATTTGCCCTTGCAGGCCCCGACGCCTGGGAGCAGATCAAAGCCTTGGTCACGGAGCGCAGGGACCAGTCCCCTGGGAGCGCCGTCCCAACGATCCTCATGGTAGACGCGCAAGCTTCACGGATGGATGCCGCCCTGGCGGCAGCTTCAGCGGCGGGATGCCCGTGCTGCGTCCTCGCCCTGGCCACTGAGGGAGGGCTCAACATCCTGGCCGCTGTAGGTTGCTCCAGGACTCCCGTGGGGATGCTGGCTGGGCGGCCATGAAGGCCAAAGAGATATTCAGGGAAAAGGGCCCAAAGAACTCATCTATAGCCCAGCTCCACCATTGCCCAAGATGGCCTATAGGGCCGAAATGTAATCTCGAGAGGCCCAAGACACCACCAAAGTCGCCAACACATGCCCGCAAGCCAGCCCCAAGATGCCCCCGAGGGTCCCCGTGACAGCCCAAGTGTGGCCCAGATGTTGCAAAAGATTGTCCAAAGGTGGCCCCAAGGGCCCCACTGTGCCTACAGGACGTCGAACAGGGCCGAAGCGGCCCCGAAATGGTCCCATGGCTCCAGAGAGGAGGAGGAGGAGGAGGAGGAGGAGGAGGAGGAGGAGGAGGAGGAGGAGGAGGAGGAGAGGAGGAGAGGAGGAGGAGGAGGAGAGGAGGAGGAGGGGGAGGGCGGCGGCAGAGGGCGCAGGCCCGCACAGATATGGCAGAGACACGAGGCCGCGCCCTCGGCCCTGCCCTGAGCCACAGCAGCCACGCAGAGGCGAAGCCCCGCCGGGCCTCTGCTGGTGGGAAAATGTGCGCCGCAGGTGTGCGCGGGCCGGCCCGGGGCGAGGAGGTTCGGTCCAACTGGAAGTCCTACAGTCGGGGCGCTGAAGAAGGAACCCTGTTCGTTGGGGAGGGGCTCGGTGTTCCTTGATTGTTTCACAGCTTGCCTCAGGTGTTCCTTATGTTTTCGATGGGACATCGAAGTTAAACTTATAGAAAAAAGGGCCCTCGTTCCTTATTTAGGGTTCCTTCGGTCAACGCCCCAACTGTATATGGGGGCGACCAGTTGCACTCCTCGGGGCGCAGGGACGTGACGACAAATGCTTCTGCACTCCGCACCGATCTGTTCAGTATGTCCGCACTGGGGGTCGATCCGCTCGACCACTGGGGCGCAAGGAGGCGGCGACGTGGTTGTGATTTGCAACACCCGGGCGCGCGAGGTATCGTCTGGACGCCAGTATGTTGGCACGCACGCACGGGGTGCGGGGAAAATGGTACGTTGCCCACATGATACATGTTGTCAGGAACAGACGGCGGCTGCTGTTGGGCAGGCGACGTTGTGTCTCAAGCGGGCACCGTCCACGGCAACACCCACAAGGAGGCCCGGCCAAAAGGGGCAGCAACTGCTGTCAATGGTCGTTCCCATTCCTTCCGTACCCACTCCGATCGAGCCGAGTATTGGGGGGTGTCTCTGCTGGAACCGTCGATGGGCGCAGTGAGCGACAGAGGTGCAATTCGTACCAGCCAGGGGCGCCAGATCTGGTTTGGATGCTGCGCCCGTATTGGGGGGGCGCTCTGCTGGACTTCCCCAATGGCGAAGTCGATTGCAATAGTTCTACGCTTCGCTACCCGAGCGGACGGCCAACATTGAATCGGGAAATTGGATCGGATCGGATGGTACGTCGGATCGGGCTGTCGAATCGGAATAGAAATCGAATCGAATCGGCTGCACCCGCAGAAACACCCGCAGGGGCGGGAGGGCGCCCTGCAGCGCAGTTGTTTTGCATATTCGTCCTTAGCTTGTTCGATCTGGTCCTCCTGCTCCTCCTCCTCCTTCTTCTCCTGCTCGGGAACGGGGGATTGTGGAGTCCTTCGCCTTTGGAAGAGCGTTTTCGAATAGTTGTTCGTGAATTTTTCAAACAGTAGTCCTCATCTTCCTTCTCCTCCTTCTCCTCCTCCTCTTTCTCTTCCCTCCCCTTCTCCTACTCCTCCTCTTCCTCTTTCTCTCTCCTCTTCCTCTTCCTCTTCCTCCTCTTCCTCCTCCTCTTCCTCCTCCTCCCTCTCCTCCTCTTCCTCCTCCTCCCCCCAGAATATAGTTTGTTGCTTCTCCTGCCCTCCCCCCTCTCAAAGGAACAAAAGCGGCGCGGCCTCCAGTTTGGCTTTTGTTTCCTTCATTGATGCTTTTTTTGGGGGGGGGGCTCCTCCTCCTCCTCCTCCTCCTCCTCCTCCTCCTCCTCCTCTTCCTCCTCCGCGCTGCTCCGTTCCCTCCTCCTCCTCCTCCTCTTCCTCCTCCGCCTTCCCCCAGAATCTAGCTTGTTGCTTCTTCTGCACCTCCCCCCCCTCAAAAAAACATAGAAAACAAACACAACAAATGCGGCGCGGCCTCCCGTTTTTTTTGTTTGGGGGGGTGGCTCCCTCCTCCTCCTCCTCCTCCTCCGCGCTGTTCCGCTCGCCTTCCTCCTCCTCCTCCTTCCCCCTCGGATCAAGCTTTTTACTATTACGATGCTTCGAAAGTAAGAAATGCCCCAGTTGGCACTGCAGTGGCATGGATTTGGCCATGGGTTGGTATCGCATTGGCACTGCGTTGGCATAGCGCTGCGTCGGCATTGCGCTTGCATGTCGCAAGCATTGCGCTGCCGGGTCCCAATGGAACCCTCCACACAAGGACTTAGATTGAAAACCTCTACCAGAAGGACTCCGATTGAAACCGTCCACAAAAGCGGCTCATATTGAAACCCTACATCCCCCACAGAAGGATTCAATGCGAAGCCTTCCACATAAGGATTCCGACTGAAATCTATCACACCTGCTTTCTCCTATTGGCATTGCATTGACATTGGGTTGGGATCGCCTTGGTATTAGTTTGGCATTGCGTTGGCACTGCTTTGGCATTGCGCTGGCGAGTTCCAATACACCCCTTCACATAATGATTCTTAGTGAGCGCTGCACAGGAATGTTTCCGATTGAAGCATTCCACAAGAAGGGTTTATATTGAACCACTTCAAATCAGGATTCCATTCGAAACCCTCCATCGAAGGAGCCCTATTGAAACGGACCACGCGCGATTTCCCCCAGGCATTTGATTTGCATTGGATTGGGACTGCCAGGGCATTGGTTTGGCAGTGCGTTGGCACTGCTTTGACATTGCGCTGGCGACTTCAAATGCATCCCACCACGAAAGGATTCCTATTGAAACCTTCCACACGACGAGTCCCCCACATGAAGGGTTAATGGTGAAACCCTCTAAAGAAGGATTCCTGCGGAAACCCTCCACCAGAAGATTCCGATCGACATCCTCCGAAGAAAGATCCGCAACCAAATCATCCACAAAAGGATTTCTGTCGGAATCTGATGAAAAACTGGAATCATGCCACTGGCATTGCATTGGCATTGGTTTGGTAACGGTTTGGCATCGCATTTGCGTTGCGTTGGCATTGCGTTGGCAGTGCGTCAGCAGTGCGTTCGCATTGCGATGGCATTGCGCTGGCGAATCTCAACCAAACGCTCCACAGAAGGATTCCGATCGAACACGTCCACAAGAACGATGCCTACGGACCCCCCGCAATAAGGATTCACATTGCAATCATCCACAACAGGGTTCCATGCGAATCCCTCCACATAAGGATTCCGAGTGTAATCCTCCGAAGAAGGGTCCTTAGAATGATTCCTTTATGGATGGCATCATCCACAGAAGGGTTCTCAGAAGGATTGCTACTGAACGCTACCACAAGCAATCCACCCTATTGCCGCTGCATTGGCATTAAGTTTGGATCCCCTTGGCGTTGGTCTGACATGGAGTTGGCACTGCTTTGGCATTGCGCTGGCGAATCCGAATGCCCCCCTTCGCAGAACGAATCCTACTGAAACCCTCCACAAGCAAGGTTCCTTTTGGAATCTATATATAGATATAATGAATTACATATCCATATACACATATAAGACCACCCTTCGGGTGATAAGGGGGTTCAGGGGGGGGAACCAACGTCTCACTCGATCGGTCTCACTCGATCGGTCTCACGATCGATCTCACGATCGATTTCACTATCGGTCTCGTTCGATCGATCTCACCCGATCGATCCCACAATCGATCTCACTCGATCTATTTCATTCGATCGATCTCACAATCGATCTGACTATCGATCTCACAATCGATCTCACTATCGATCTCACTACCGATATCGTAATATACCCCACGTTCGGTCCCACTAACGATCTCACTATCGATACCACAACCGATCTCACAATAAGCGTCACCATCATCATCAACATCATCGTCACCACCGTCAGCAACATCATCATCATCGTCGGGACGCCACCATCAACATCATCACACAATCACCATCATCATTATCATCATCAGCATCACCATCATCATCATCGAGACACCATCATCGTCACCATCATCATCATCAACCTCAGCACCATCGGGACACCATCGTCACCATCATCATCATCGGAACACCACCATCATCTTCAACTCATCATCATCATAAACAACATCATCAACATCATCGTTGGGGCACCATCATCATCATCATCATCATCATCGGGACACCATGATCATCGTCACCAGCATCATCATCACCATCATCATCATCGGGACACCAGCATCACAATCAACATAAGCATCATCATCACCGGGCCAACATCAGCAACACCATCATCATCACCTCATCATCATCCTCATCATCACCATCATCATCATCGGGACACCAACCTCGTCATCATCATCAACATCATCATCATCGGGACACCATCGTCATCATCATCAACAGCATCGTCATCAACCTCAGCATCACCATCATCATCACTGGGACACCATCATCATCAGATTCATCATCACCATCTCATCATCTCATCATCATCAAAACCATCAGGACCACCAACATCATCATCATCATCATCGAAACACCATCATCATCATCATTAGCAACAGCATCATCAACATCATAATCACCGGGACACCAGCATCATCACCACCATGGCCGCCATCATCCTCATCATCATCACCATCATCATCATCATCATCATCACCGGGACACTATCATCGTCACCATCATCATCTACATCATCATCATCACCGGGACACCAACATCATCATCATCGGAAAGCCACCATCATCACCATCATCATCGCATCATCATCATGAACAACATCATCAACATCATCATCATCGGGGCACCATCATCATCAGCAACATCATCATCACCGGGACACCATCATCATCGACACCATCATCATCACCATCATCATCATCAGGACACCATCATCATCGACACCAGTATCGTCATCATCTGGCAACCATCATCAAAATCATCAGCACCTCATCATCATCCTCATCATCAACATCATCATCGGGATACCATCATCGTCATCATCATCATCATCATCATCATCGGGACATCATCATCATCACCACCATCAACAGCACCATCATCAAGCTCATCATCATCATCATCGGGACACCATCATCACCATCTTCATCATCATCACCATCTCATCATCCCATCGTCATCAACATCATCATGATCACCAACATTACCATCATCATCGGGACACCATCATCACCAACATCAGCATCATCAACATCATCATCATCATCATCACCATCGGGACATCATCATCATCATCACCACCATGGCCATCATCATCATCAACAACATCGTCATCATCATCATCATCACCACCATCACCATCATCATCATCATCATCATCCGCATCATCACCATCATCATCGGGACACCGACGGGACATCGGCGGGACACTGGCGGGACACCGCGCGCCACCAACCCCCGGACAGAGAACATTTGGTCCGGCCGCGCCTCAGCCAGAGGCGGGACACTTCTCGCCCGCCCACGCAGCTTCGCCTCGCCCGCACGCACGGCACGCACGAACACGAAACCGAAAC